GTAGTTTTAGTTGCAAGAGCACACGCCACAGCCATTTTTCAAATATTTAGACAAACTGTCTACAGCCAACACTTGGATTATGGTTATTTTAAAGTACCCCATCCTTCCCCAAAATTATAATTATCTTGGAATATGGGACTAGCATTCAAGGGCAGCCACCATACCAACCACCCTTGTGAACAGATGAAAGAATAGTATTCAGTTTCAGTCTTCCATCTGTTACAAGGACTGAAATTTCTTCAAGTCTTGAGTTGTTAAAACACAAAGAATTAAAGGTTGAGTGATTAAGCCATGTTATGACCTAACCACTTTGGGCTAGACTTGAGCACTGAAACAAGTGCCTAGTACAAATGGTAAAGTCCATGCTAACCATGCCTACTAGTGTTCTGCATGATATTCACACTAGTGCTGTTCTACAGTTGGCTACAACTCCCTCTGGGTACTTCTCAATTCCTGGCACAAACCTGCAGAGACACTGGACTCTAGGAGACTTTGAAAAGGCCACTGTCTGAACCACTTGTCATTTTAATGCTGTCTACAGGGGTGCTAGACTTGTGCAGAGCGAAAGGATACCAACTAAGCTGGAATTTAACCCATCTGAAAGCAAAGGTAAGCCAAATGGTATTTGACAGGCGTATCAGTTTGGTGAACGTGTGTAGACCCAGTGGTACTCTTAGCATATCTGTAAAATCACAATTATTTTCAACATGGGAAATTACCAGCTAGCTATAGTGGTTTAATTCCAGAAGAAGAGAGCCTTTTTCAAAGTTAGCTTCAGACACTTTAACGTTTGCCAAAGCAACATAAGCTACACCAGAAAAAAGGCACTCTTACTCCATAAGTACAGGTCCACGTGGGGGGATTATATTGCTATAGGTAACCTGGTATAATTATGCCAATGAATTTCCCTGTGTAGACAAATCTCAAGCTTACAAGCTTTTTTCAAACTGGTACGTTTCGGCACTCCATGAGCTACTTTAATTTGATCAATGGAAAACATTAAAATAAAGCTTCCTGAACACTTACAAATGCCATGCAATCACAGCAGAAAAAAATTAGTCCATTGCTGGGTGCATCAGAACAGAAATGGCCTCAAAGATCTCCACATCAGCCACCTGCTATACATTTTATCCAACTTTTGAGTTAGAATCGAAACACGTAATCCACACTTGAAAACACACAGGAAGGTTGCACACTTGGGGCTTGGACTTAAAAGTCAGAGTTCAGGGCTGGATCTTGTTTTGGAGAAGTATGCCATTTGTTTGGCAGACTAAGCAGGGTAGCAAAAGATTCCTCAATAATTTACTCTTGGACAGCTGTCCTTTTCAGATCTCTATTAGATACTATGGGGATGACTACTTAAGAATTTCTTATAATGCTTTCCAGAGTACAAGAGAAACTGACAGTCTCCTACAAAAGACTAGGAGACAGGAGACTTTTCTGGCCTACAGGAACAGACTTTTTTAGGTGTATTTTCCTTCAGATGTGTTAAGTAACTATATTCTGATGAAGCCACTTGTAAATGAGCAGTAGCATACAATAAATGGCATTGTACTATTATGTCTAGCTGAATATACATATTCAGCTAATCAGTTTGACAACTATGGTCACTTCACCCTCCACTAACAGAACACCAAGTAGTGGTAGAGGGGATTAAAAGGGAGGAATAGATTAGGAAAAATTAGTAGGCACTACCACCTACCAAAATACAAAAATCTGATACAGTGTAGCTTCCGATTAGCAAATATTAAATCTGAAACTGGGCAGAATAACAATCTACTAGTTACAGCAGTTACAAAGGTCAGTTAAGGCTTTCACTAGAAGGTTTAAAATTCTTACTGGGTAAGTTTTCCATCTGAGGAAAAATACAAGCTCATACAGCAAGTACATGCGTCTATTAAGGTTGCCACACTCAATACTGAAGTTAAACAAAAGCAAACTTGCACCTGAGAAGGACTTCCTGAGTTTCAGGATCTGGGGTTACATAGCAATTCCTACAAAAAGGATTACCTCCAGCCTCATAAGAAAACTCCTGGGCAGCACCTTACATGTCCTCCACAGAGGAGGGAGACTTTGAGCAGAAAGCTTGTTAGGATCGGAGGACCTTATTCCCTGTATAGAGTCTTATTTGTTTAGCTTTGATAATCAAAATGAGTTTACCACTTTTGACTCTTGGGGATTATGCAAAGACCACATAACTAGGTGAGCAATCAGGACTATCTTCTGCCTCAGATTTTGCCACCCAGCTTTAAAAAAAATATATAGTTGATTTAGGTCCTTCAACTCATAAAAGATCGAGGTTTTTCTGCGTGTTTACCATTACAAATTTCAGCTTCTGTGGGTGCATATTGTGAGCACTGACCCCCTAACAGAAGGCAAAGTGTTCAAGATTTAATAATGGTTTTCTTTAGTCAAGAAAAGTTATTGACCTTAAATACGTGTTGATAAAAACCCAGAAGCTTTGAGGAGTCTGGTTACAATCCCTCACCATCAGTTTTTCAGCTTTCACTTTCTGCTCTTATAATGTCACTAATCTCTCTCTATAGCCTACAGAGCCAACATTTGTCTCGTAAGAGACTACCTGGGTCTTTGAAAGACACCTGCCAGGCCATCTTCGAGCCTCAAAACAACAAAGAGATGCAAAAGCCCAAAACCGCCCCGTGCGGGGTCCCTTCAGGCCAGCTCGGTTCGCCCGACGATGGCTGAGAAGGGACGGTCCCGGGCCGGCCAGAGCTCGCGGGGCTGACAGCGACAACGAGCATCTCTCTCAGCCACGCGAGTTGGCTGGCTCCGGATTCAGAGCCGCCTGCGCGGAGCCCCGCTCTGGGGCTGCGGGAAGCCCCTTCCCGAGCAGGCTCCCTCTCGGCCGAGCGCACACGGGCCGGCGGGCAGCCGCTCGGGGCTCGCCTCGCAGCAGGGGAGGCCCAGCTCCTGCGCGGGTAGCCCCTACCAGCGAGGTTACGTAAGGGGGGACAGGCTGCCCCACACCCGGCCTCCCTCACCACTAGGCCGCCTCCGGCCCCCTGATGGGGACCAAGGAAGGAACCCGGGCAGCTACCCCCGCCCAGTACTCGGGAACCGGCTCCCTGCGCTTCCCTGGGGGCGAGGCCAGGCCCTTAGCGGGGCCTACAGCACAGCCGAGGCCCGGCCCCTGGCTGCGGCCTGAGCTCGGCCGGGTGCGGACAAGGAGGCCGAGGTGGCGGCCGGGAACAGGAGAAAGCCTCTCTCCCGGGCGGCTGAGCAGGAGCCCGGCCGGGCCCGCCCTGCGCGCGACGCCCCAGCCCGTGAGCCCTTACCTTATGGATTCTCTTCAGCGCCATTGTGTGTGTGAGGGGCTCGGTGCGGGGAGGGGGCGCGCGGCTCGGGCGGTGTGGGGGAGGGAGGGGAGCTCGCTCGGGATTATTTCGCGGGGGGAGGGGCGCGGCGGTGGCGGCGCTATTGGGAGGGGGAAGGTGGCGCGGAGGGAGTCTCGGTGCGGCGGGAGGGCCTCACTCTCTGTTCCCCCGGCGGCCGCTGGGCTCTTGCTCGCTGCCGCAGCTGCTACCGCATCACTCCGCGGGGCCTTTATGCGCTGCTGCCTCCGAGGCCGTATCACTCCGCCACTATCCCAATAGTCACCAGCGGGGCAGCCGGGCGGAGGGGCAGCAGCACCTGGTGATGAGGCCCGCTCGGGCACAGGGACTATTTCCTCACTCTCTTTTCACACAGAACTCTCCAGAAAGGGGCTCGGAGAAGCGGAAGGATACGATCGGGGAGGGAAGGGGGTGGAGTGAAGTGACTTCTCGCGAGAAGAGAAAGAAAGAGGTTCCGGACGGTGGAGGGGCAGAGTAGCAGGGAAACCTAGAGCGGCTGCGCAGTGCGGAGGGGGCCCGGGCCCGGGCTCGGGCCCGGGCCTGGGCCTGGGCCTGGAGCAGGGAGGTTCCGGCTGGCGGCTATAACCCTGCACCCGGCTGTAGTGTGCATTGGGACCCGGCGCTGCAGGGGAAGGGGAGAGTCTGTCTCCTTCCCGCCCGGGGCCCCGTCCCCTCCTCTCTCTGGCTTGGGCCCATGTTCCCCCCTCTGCTGCTCCCCCGCCTTCCCTTCCTGGGGACCCCATCCCCTCCTCTCTCCGGCCTGGGCCCATTGCCCCCCCCACCTCCCCTTCCCCTCCACGGGACCCCATCCCCTCCTCTCTCTCGCCTGGGCCCATTCGCCCCCCCCACCTCCCCTTCTTCTCCCGGGGACCTCATCCCCCTCCTGTCTCCAGCCTGGTCCCATTGTCCCCCCACACACATGTTGCTCCCCGTCTCCCTTTCCCCTCCAGGGGACCCCATCCTCTCCTCTCTCGGCAGCACGTTCCCCCTCCAGCTTCTATGTGTAGGTGCAGCCAGGAGGCTCTGCACACTGTCCTCACCCCAAGTGCTGCCCCTGCAGCTCCTATTGGCCAGGAACTGCAGCCAGTGGGAGCTGTAGTGGCAGTGCCTGTGGACAGGGCAGTGACCAAGGCTGTCTGACCACACCTCTGCGTAGGAGCTGGAGGGAGAACATGCCACTGTTTCTTGGAGCTGCTTGAGGTAAGCGCCCCCCAGAGCCCGATTCCCCCTCCAGCCCTCTCAGTCCTAGCCCAGAGCATCCTCCTGCACCCCCACTCCTTCATCCCCAGTCCCACCCCAGAGCCTGCACCCCCAGCTGGAGCCCCCTACACCCCAAGCCCCAATTTTGTGAATATTCATGGCCTGCCATACAATTTCCATACCCAGATGTGGTCCTCAGTTCAAAAAGTTTGCCCACCCTGCCCACCCCTGCCTTAAGGACTCAGAATGATAAGCCTTCGGCTCTGCTTTCCTGCTTGGTGACCCACAACATGATCTAAGCCATGGCAGTGACAAGGGGGAGAGATCCTCTCATGGACTTTCTCTGAAAGGAGACATTGGAGGTCTCTAGGAGTAATGGGCATCTGCACAAAGGCTGGTCCTGTGAAAGTCTAGACTTTCTGCTCTACAGGCAGTACTGAAAGGTCTTGAGGTCTAGTTGGGAATGAGGTGGGAGGAGGTTCACTTTTAAATTTCTGTGCTAAAGGCTGTAATAATACTTGTTCTTTATTCCCCCATGGTTGTCAGTAACCCTGCAGTGGGAGAAGCAGGAATAAGGCATCCTGCAGCCTGTCATCATACAGACCAGGCTGAGAAGCTACCTTTTCTTCCACATAGCATAATTTCTTGCCACTCAGCTGCAAAAATGTGAAAGTGTCTGGAAGAATGCATCTTTTGGTGGCTCCTGTTTTCTGTACCTCTCCTTTTCCTGCCTGTCCGTTGCTTGCCCTCTTTGATGTACATTTGGTGCCTTGTTCATAGTGTGCCATGTAACAGTATTTGAAAGTAGTTTAAAATGAGTTGCATGCACACTCAGTACAGTTAAAAGAACACATTGAAAAATCATGCAAGTGAGTACCTGAAGGGACCAGTTCATAGCAAAGTTTGAACTGTTAAATACACAGACAAAGCCATGTGGCACGCAGTCTTCTGGCAAATTGTTCTCAACCATAATTCTACTGTATTTTTGAACAGTAATTCATCTTGTTACAGCAGTGCCTCAGGGCCGGTGGTATTGTACATACACAGAGTAGTCAATTCCTGCCCCTGAAGAGCTAATGATCTAAATAGATAAGATACTCACACTGGGAGGAAAGGGGTAGGACACGCAGGGAGAGTGAACAAGGTGATGGCAGCAAATGTCATGTTCTATGATTTTTGGAGGGGAGTGGGTTTACTTAAGAGGGGATAAGCTCAATGAAAAGGGAATCAGGTGGGGAATGGGATAGGTGAGGGGAGAAGAGAGTGGAGCTGAGGTGAAGAATGAGGGATAGGGAGCAAACAGCCAATTAACACAAGGCAGAGAAAGTCCAGTTGAAAGTGTAGAAAGTGCTGCTATGGTTTAAATTATAGCATGGACAATTTGTCAACAGCAGCTTCGGAGAAGAATAGCCACCACCAGGCATTTTCTCAGCTTTGTCATGTGCTGTGTGGAAATAAAAACAGCAATTCCAGCTATTTAACCAGCTGCCTAGTTGGAAGTATCAGATTTTTTTTTTAAACTCATTATGTAGCAACAGTTATTTTCTGTGATCCCAGCACTTCCACCACTAACAGTGGAATTCATGACTTATTACCCATTTGGAGTATAATAATATATATATTATGACTCACTACATTTGCGTAAGGAAAAGAAAAAAAATCAAATTGCTTTATTGGTCTTATTTGATTTCATATAGCTCAGTGGCTTGCACATTGGCCTGTTAAACCCAGGGTTGTGAGTTCAATCCTGGAGGGGGCCACTTAGAAATCTGGGGCAAAAATCAGTATTTGGTCCTGCTAGTGAAGGCAGGGAGTTGGACTCAATGATCCTTCAGGGTCCCTTCCAGCTCTATGAGATAGGTATATCGCCATATATTATTTCTGGTTAGGTGCATACAATCCTATCACTACTTACTCTAGTGGTGTGCTTCTGTGGGCTGGTCTACACTGGGGGGATCGATCCAAGATGCGCAACTTCAGCTATGCGAATAGCGTAGCTGAAGTCAAAGTATCTTGGATTGCATTACCTGGGGTCCACACAGCGCAGGATCGACGGCCGCGGCTCCCCCATCGACTGCGCTACCACCGCTCGCTCTGATGGAGTTCCGGAGTAGACGGTGAGCGTGTTCGGGGATCAATATATCGTGTCTTAACGAGACGTGATATATCGATCCCGGAGAAATCGATTGCTACCTGCCGATACGGCGGGTAGTGAAGACGTACCCTGTAAGGGAGAAGGAAGGAAGACACTTCCCTTGTAAGGATCCTCCTCCAGTGTGACAATTGCGAGCCATCTGGAGACCTAAAACTGAGGAAATGGCTCATTAGTTCAAGTGAGCTGGTAGATGAATCATTGTCATGTAATCTATCCTTGCTGACAGAAAATTGGGAGGGTTGGACAAAACAATGTGGAAACTTAGTCACATTCTGCCTAATACAATCCAGGTTAAACGTTCAACACCCTTGCTGGACGGGATGTAACAACTACAACCCATACTCACTGGGGACACCAGCCTGAAAGAAATCTTTCCTGAACTAGGAATGTAAAATATTAAATGGTTAACCAGTAAGCATTAGTCTTACTGGTTAACCCATCCTAACTGTTAGCCCACAGCCATTGTGGGCCAGCTGGCACGGCCCCAACCCTGCGCCAGCTGGCTAGAGCAGCCCCATGCCTCCGAGAGTAGCCCCAGCCATGCCTGCCAGCCACTCCTTTATATCCGTTAACTGATTCAATTTTAATTGTTTAAATAGTTAACTTTTAAAACAATATTTACATCCCTTTCCTGAATCCCCTCTTCTAGCCTTCCAACCATCCCCTCCCCCCACATCTCCAAGCTCATCGTCAGAAGCAAGCTCCCCACAGACACTGCCAGAACAGATGCAAAAGCTGCAGATATATCTACTCTGTTAGAACAATCAATACCCCCCTCAACACACCTTTCAAGAGCCATGGGTCCTACACATGCCAATCTCAACATGTGGTGTACCTCATCCAATGCATTAAATGCCCCTATAACAACTATGTGGGTGAAACCAATCATTATGCTCTTGAATGAACTCACACAGAAAAATTATAAAAGACAAAAACCACCATATTACATGTGGGTGAACACTTATCACAAAGTGATCACTCTGTCTGACCTATCAGTCCTCATCCTCAAAGCAAACCTGCACAACACTTTTAAAAGATGAGCCCGGGATCTTAAATTCATAACTTTGCTAGACACTAAAAATCATGGTCTTAATAAAGATATTGGGTTTATGGTTTATTACAACAATCTGTACCTACTAACCCCCTTTTTTGTCCTACAATTACAGGAGTGTTAGTCACTTCACCTTGAATGGTCCCTTAGAATACGTGTATGTAGATGATGTAGGGAGGAGGGGTTTAGATTTATTGGGAACTGGGGAAACTTTTGGAAAAGGGGGAGCCTATAGAACAAGGATGAGCTCCACCTAAATCAAAATGGAACCAGGTTGCTGGCACTTAAAGGTTATAGAGCAGTTTTTAAATTAAGGGCTGGGGGGGGAAACCGACAGGTGCGGAGTAGCACGTGGTTCGGACAGAGACATCTCCTAGAGAATCTCCATTAATAGATCCTCCCCTATGTCCTAGTAAGGAGGAGAGGATGGAAGTTGATAAAATAGAGGTAGGATCTGATGAGAAACAGTCAAATGAAAGAAGTCCCATTCAATTACATCATGTAATGGCAGACAGCTAAAAAGTGACAAGTTTTTAAAGTGCTTATATACCAATGCTAGAAGTCTAAATAATAAGATGGATGAACTAGAGTGTCTTGTATTAAACGAGAATATTGATATAATAGGCATCACAGAAACTTGGTCGAATGAGGATAATCAATGGAACACGGTAATACCAGGGTACAACATATCTCAGAAGGACAGAACTGGTCATGCTGG